GATCGGCGAACTGACCAAGATCACAGACGCCTCCGGCCAGGCTGTCTATAGCTACGACAGCATGAGTCGCAAGATCTCCAAGGTCCAGACCACGGGTGCGAAGACCTTCACCGTTGGCTACACCTGGGGTGATAGCGGCAGCGCACTCGACAAGCTGACGGCCATCACCTACCCCAGCGGAACGAGGGTCAACTACAGCTATGACGCCTACGGTGCGGTCTCCGGTATCACGGTCAACCCGCCCAATACCAATGGTGTGGGAACCAATACCGGATCCACCTTGCCGCTACTGAGTGCGATCACCACCAACGCCGAAAGCAAGCTCACGGGCTGGACCTGGGCCAGCACCAAGACCCAGGCGATTGCCTATGACGCCAATGGCCAGATCAGTGCTTACAACCTGGGCGATTCCACGGGCACCGGCATCCGCCGCACCATTCTTCGCGACAGCGCGGGGCGCATCACCGGTTATACCCACGTCAGCAATGGAACCCCCGTCCCCGCGCTGGACCAGAGTTTTGGCTATGACAACCTGAACCGCCTGAGCAGCGCGACCCTGGGCAGCACAGCGATTCAGTACAGTTACGACGCCACAGGCAACCGCACGGCGAAAGTCATCAGCGGAACGAGCTACCCCAACACCATTTCGACCACCAGCAACAAGCTGACCCAGACGCAGGACGTGGGCGGCACGGCTACCGTGGTGCATGACGCGGCGGGCAATATCACGAGTGACGGGACCAATACCTATACCTATAGCGACCGGGGCCGTCTGGCGACGATGACGAATACGGGTGGTACGGTTACCTATACCTATAACGCGTTGGAGCAGCGGGTTGGCAAGACCGGGCCGACGGCGCTGGTGGCGACAGGCGCCACCTATTACGTCTACGACGAAGCCGGAAAACTTCTCGGTGAGTACGACGCCAACGGAGTCCCTATTTACGAAACCATTTATATGGGTCTTCCGGTTGGGGTGGTCAAACAGACTGGCACGGCAGCAGCGAGCGACATCGCTATCAACCTGTACAACGTCTCGACCGACCAGCTTGGTGCACCACGAGTCATTACCCGTCAGAGCGACGAAGCTTTGGTGTGGCGCTGGGATTCGGCCGAAGCCTTTGGGGCCACGGCGCCGGACCAGAATCCTGGCGGCCTGGGAGCATTCAGCTTTAACCAACGTTTGCCCGGCCAAGTGTTTGATGCAGAGAGTGGTTTGTTCCAGAACTGGAACCGCGAGTACAACCCGCGCATTGGGCGGTATATGCAGTCCGATCCCATTGGGCTTAGAGGAGGTATTAACACCTTTGCCTATGTGGAGGGTGATCCTTTGAGGTTTAATGACCCGAAAGGATTGGACAGTAGTAATTACTTCAACCTAAAAAACGGCAGAAGTTTCTTCGATGGCCCGACGAATGGCAATTGGGGCGGAAAATGCTGGAGCGGTGGTCAGTACTCATGCGGGGGCAAATCCGTAGGCAATCAACCCCCCACTGACAGCGGGGATGCATGTTATCAACGACATGATCTCTGCTACGTCACATGTGGGGCAAATGCTTCATGCCGTGCAGCATGCAATAAAACCTTAGTTGATGAACTGGAGGCACTACCCAATGACCCTCGTCAGTGGCCCCAGCCGCCAAAAACTGGAACAGAGAAGGACAGTCGCGATTTCAAGGACTCTGCTGTTGATCTCTTCAAAGACAGAAAATGAAAAACTTCAAACGAACCTTCATTGTTTGGGGGCCCTTCGTCCTTAGCTCCATCGCCACAATAGTGGCTCACCAGACTCTTTGGGCCACTGAGTGGTATCGGGGCTATCTCTCGATGCTCGGAATATTGAGCTGCCTTCTGGCGACTAGGGTTCTCATGCAAACCGGTATACGGCGTTGGCCCGTAGTGGGTGTCACTATCGGCCTTTTGCTCGGCCAATGGTGGTTGGTGCAGGCTTTAATCTTGGCACTCTCTTGGCGTATCAGCGGGTTTGCTCCATAGTTGTTGTGTCACAGTATCGGCTGTAGTCGGCGGCCGAATTGTCGGCAAGGGTGGCTGTAAACAGCGCACCCATGCCGGTTTCAAGCTCGGCACAATTTCCCGCACCAACCGTTTGTTGGCTTCGGCCAACATCGTCGTTTCCTCAAGCCTTATCAGCCCACGGTGATCACGGTTTCGGCGTACTCGCTGGGCACGACCAGGCCACGGCCCTTGCCGACGTCCAGCTCGTTGAGCAGCGCCAGGATGTCGCGCTCCAGCGCCGCCTGCTTGCCTGCATCCAGCGCGCCGAAGGCCTTGTGGGTCGGGCCGTAGAAGTCGCGGAACACCTGCACAAAATGCGCGGCCGAGCGGTAGCGGAAGGAGAACATTTTTCGCTCAACCTGGATGTTGCCGGCGCGCGGGCCGAACAGCGAGACCAGGTGTGCCTCGGTGCCCCAGAGCGCCGGCGAGCGCACGCCTGCTGGCGGCGCCACATGCGTGCCGATGATCTTGAACAGGCGGCCGATGAAGCCTTCGGGCGTCCAGTTGGCCAGGCCGATGCGGCCGCCGGGGCGCACCACGCGCAGCATCTCGCGTGCGGCGCTGGCATGGTCGGGCGCGAACATCACACCGAAGGTCGACAGCGCGACGTCAAAGCTGCCGGTTTCGTAGGGCAGGGCTTCGGCGTCGGCGACCTCGAAGCGCACGTCCAGGCCTTCGGCGGCGGCGCGGGCGCGGCCCTTGTCCAGCAGGGCCTGGACGTAGTCGGTGGAGGTCACGTCGGCAAAGCGGCGCGCCGCGGCCAGCGTGGCGTTACCATTGCCTGCCGCGACGTCCAGCACACGTTCGCCGGCGCGCACGTCGACCGCTTCGGCGAGCGTCTCTCCGACGATCTGCAGCGTGGTGCCTACGATGGTGTAGTCGCCGCTGGCCCAGGTGGCTTGCTGGCGCTGTTTGATCGCGGCATAGTCCGGTGCGGCGGCCGGTTTTTCAGGGGTGGCAGTGATGGATGTCATGTTGAATACCTTTGGGTTTCGATCTGGATGGGATGAATGCCGGCATATCGTTTGCCGGTGTGCCCATGATCGGGATCGGTGCACTTTGGCGCTTCACCCGTTGTCGCCGTGGCTTGACCGAAAGTCCGCCGTCGGACGGTATTAATGCCATGAGCGAACTCGACCCCCTTTCCGACGTGCTGCGCAGCGTCCGCCTGCGCGGCTCGGTTTACTTTCACGTGAGCTGTCGCGACCAATGGGCCGCCCAGGCGCCGCATTCGAGCGAGATGGCTCCGGTGCTGATGCCGGGCGCCGAGCATGTCATCGAGTACCACCTGTTCCTCAAGGGCGAGGGCTGGGTGGCGGTCGACGGCGAGCCGCCGCTGCGCATGCGCGAAGGCGACATCGTGATGCTGCCGCATGGCGACGCGCACGTGGTGTCCAGCGCGCCCGGCCTGGCGCCGGCCGAGCAGGACGACTGGCTGTTCAGGATGCGCGACGACCCCAAGCCCATTCCCATCACCTACCGCGGCGGCATGTTCGAGGCCGGCCTGGGCCTGCCGCCCGAGGATGCCAGCACCGTCATCCTGTGCGGTTTCATCGCCTGCGACCTCAAGCCGTTCAATCCGCTGATCAATGCCTTGCCACGGCTGCTGCACCTGCCCGCCGAAGGGGTAGGCGCCTGGGTGGCGCCCATGCTGGAGCAGGCGGCGTCCGAATCCGTCAACCGGCGCCCGGGCGGTGCGGCGCTGCTGCAGCGGGTCAGCGAGATGGTGTTTGTCGACGGCGCGCGGCGCTACCTGGACTCGCTGCCGGAACAAGCCCGGGGCTGGCTGGGCGCGCTGCGCGACCGCCAGGTCGGCCGTGCGATCACGCTGATGCACGGCGACCCGGCCGAGCCCTGGACGCTGGAGGAGCTCGGCAGCCGCGTGGGGCTGTCGCGCTCGGCCCTGCATGAACGTTTTGTCACGCTGACGGGCATGGCGCCCATGCAGTACCTGACCAGCTGGCGCATGCAGTGCGGCGCCCGCCTGCTGCGCGAAGGCCGCCTGAGCGCCGCGGCGATCGCGCTGGAAGTCGGCTATGACTCGGAGGCGGCGTTCTCACGCGCCTTCAAACGCGCGACCGGGCAGCCGCCGGGGGCCTGGCGGCGTGGGCAGTTGCAATCGGGGTGAGCGGCCGGCCGGGCGATTGTGAACAGCCCGGCTACGGCGTTCCAACGCTCACTTCAGGTCGTGGGCACTGGCCGCATAAGCCAGCTGGTAGCGGCCCGCCACCGCACCGGCCAGGGCACCGTGGCGCTCTATCTCTTCACCGAGCGCCCCGCGCTGCAAGGCGTCCAGCGCCGACGCCTCATAGGCGACGGCCACCACGATCCAGTCGGCCGCCCTGTCCCTGCCGCCGCGAATCTGCTGCTCCTTGGTGCTGGCGGATTGCGGCGTTTCGGTGCGCAGCACATGGAATGCAACGCCTCCGGGCCGGCTTACGAATGCCGCTGCCTGCGCCGAGAGATGCTCCAGCAGTTCCACATCCCGGCCCGCGGCAGGCGACAGCCGCAGGGTCAGCGCGTGGCGGCCTATGCCGCCTCCGCTGTTGTGCAGCAGCCGGCACTGGCTTCGCACCATGTCGCGGTGGCGCGGCATCATCTGTGTGGACCAGGGGGTGGGATTGTTCAGGCGTTCCCTGTAGCCGGCTGAGGTGAGGGTCTCATAGTCTTCCAGCTCGTACAGGACAAAAAAACCTTCTCCACCATCAGCGCTGGACCAGCGTGAGCCGCGCAGAAAACCCGGTATGCCCATGCGCTCGGGGAAGTGCTCGTGCGAATGCCAGTGTTCGAACTCTTCGCGGTGTTCAGCTGCCATGTTCCACCACATGGCGACGGCGGCTTTTCCCAGGAAGGCCATGGTGTTTGCCGCCGCAGGCTCAGTACGTGCCCGGCACAAAGATGCTGCTGTCCACCGCCTTGATGTCGGTGCGCCCGCAAAAGGCCATGGTCAGGTCCAGCTCTTTGTGGATGATCTCCAGCGCCTTGGTCACGCCTTCTTCACCCATGGCGCCCAGCCCGTAGAGGAAGGCGCGGCCTATGTAGGTGCCTTTGGCGCCCAGGGCGACGGCCTTGAGCACGTCCTGGCCGGAGCGAATGCCGCCGTCCATGTGCACCTCGATCTGGCTGCCGACGGCGGCGACGATCTCGGGCAGGCAGGAAATGGAAGACATGGCGCCGTCGAGCTGGCGGCCGCCGTGGTTGGAGACGATCAGCGCATCGGCGCCTGAATTGACGGCCAGCTTCGCGTCCTCGACGTCCTGGATGCCCTTGAGGATCAGCTTGCCGCCCCAGCGCTTCTTGATCCATTCGACGTCGCCCCAGTTGAGGGCGGGGTCGAACTGCTTGGCCGTCCACTCCGAGAGCGAGCCCATGTTCTCGACACCCTTGACGTGGCCGACGATGTTGCCGAAGCCGTGGCGTTTGGTGCCCAGCATGCCCAGGCCCCAGCGCGGTTTGGTCATGAGGTTGAGGATGGTGGAGAGCGTGGGCTTGGGCGGGGCGCTCAGGCCGTTCTTGAGGTCCTTGTGGCGCTGGCCCAGGATCTGCAGATCCAGCGTGAGCACCAGGGCTGAGCAGTTGGCCGCCTTGGCGCGGTCTATCAGGCTTTCGATAAAGGCGCGGTCCTTCATCACATACAGCTGGAACCAGAAGGGATGTCGGTCGGTGCCGGCCGCGACGTCTTCGATGGAGCAGATGCTCATGGTCGACAGCGTGAAGGGGATACCGAATTTTTTGGCGGCGCGGGCACCCAGGATTTCACCGTCGGCGTGCTGCATGCCCGTGAGGCCCGTGGGCGCGATGGCGACCGGCATGGCAACCGGCTGGCCGATCATGGTGGTCGCCGTGCTGCGGTTTTCCATGTTGACGGCGACGCGCTGGCGCAGCTTGATCTTCTGGAAATCGCTTTCGTTGGCGCGGTAGGTGCTTTCGGTCCACGAGCCGGAATCGGCGTAGTCGTAGAACATGCGGGGCACCCGCTTTTTGGCCAGGACGCGCAGGTCTTCGATATTGGTGATCACGGGCACGGCGTTAGTCTCCTCAGTTGCCCAATGCTAAGGGTTTGGGCCGCCCGGCGATTGAATAAATTTTGGCGGGCCTCAAATTATTTCAATACGGGGCGCCGACCCCGGCCAGGGCCGTCCTCTTGCCAGTTCACCAGTTTTACCAGCTGCCGGAGGCGCCACCGCCGCTGCTGGAGCCGCCCGACGAACTCCGGCTGCTGGAGCTGGAGCTCGAACTGCTGCTCGACGAGCTGCTGCCATCCCGGTCATCGCGCCCACTGTTTCTGCCGTTACCACCCGTGAAGAAGCCGAACAGCATCGCCAGCCCGAATGCCATACCTGTCGGCAGCCAGGATTCCCAGTCAGATAAAAGCAGGTCTGGCGGGTTCTGAAACGCCACATACCCCACAACGCAGGCCACCAGGGCGCTGCGCACGGCAAACTCCACCAGGCTGCGTTTGTAGGCCGCGCGCATACCCATGGCGATCAGGCCGAGCAGCAAACAACCTATACCGCCCCCCAGGGCGTAGAGCAGGCCCACGCCGAAGCGCTCGGAGCCCACCACGAAGGCAATGGCCACCATGGCGCCGATCACCAGCGCGATACCCCCGGTAACCATGCGCACCGTGCGCGAGCGGCCGGAGCCGAAGCCCAGCGCAAACGCCAGCGGCACGGGGAAGGAAAGCAGGATGGCTCCGATGGCGGGACTCTTCAGGACAACCACCACCACCGCCGGCACCACCGCGACGATGCCGATCGTCACCGGCCACTTCCAGGTGCGGCGCGCCCGAACCGCGCCCACGGCGAAACCCCACAGCAGTGCGGCAATAAAAGCCCAGCCAAAGGGCGTGATGCCCCTGGGGCTCGCTTCCGGGGGCTCAATATCGCCTCGCAACAGCCCGCCTATGTGGCTGACGGCCGCTTCCAGTCCGCCGCCGTAGTCGTTGCGCTTAAAGCGCGGCTTCATGTCCTGGTCGATGATGCGGCCCGCCAGCACGTCGGGCACGGTGCCCTCAAGGCCCTGGCCCACTTCGATGCGCATGCGCCTGTCCTCCAGCGCCACCAGAATCAGGATGCCGTCATCGCGCTGGGTGTCGCCGAGTTTCCATTTCTCAAACACGCGCGTGGCGTACTCCTCGATGGAGTCTTCACCCGTGGTCGGCAGCATGAACACGACCACTGCCGCGCGCGTGTCCGCCTCGATCGCCAGGATCTGCTCGTTCAAGGCCGCGATCTGCTGGGTGTTCAGGGTGCTGGTGGTGTCGAGCACGCGGGCGCTGTAGGGCGGCACGGGCTCCCGCGCGGCGGACACTTGCGCGGCATCGACCGGCCCGGCCGCCTGCGCGGCATCGGTCGGCACGGCTATCTGCTGGGCACCGGCGGGCAGCATGCACAGCGCCATCCACAGCACGGCCAGGGTCTTGAAGAGGCGCCATATTGTTGGCGCCGGGAGTCTCACGGCAGCTTGAGGATGTTGCATGAAGGGTCTGGGATAAAGAAGGGCGAAGGGCGGGGCGCAGCGCTGCCGGATGTCGGGGCTGCGGAAAATCAACGCGCCGCAGTTGCGCCGCCACGTACGCTGGCTTCACGCACACCGGCGCCGCGCACTTCGAGCTTGATCTCGTCGGCGACCTTGCCGCCGGCGTCGACCAGCTGCACCACATGCCGGCCCGGCCAGGGCATCCACTGCGCTTGGGCCCCGCGCGCAAACTCCTTGCCGTCCATCAGCCAGCGGGTACCGCGGCCTTCGGCGCTGAAGCTCACGCGCTGGTGTTTGGGCGGGATGTCCGGGTCCAGCGCGATGATGGTGCCCGAGGCTGGGGCGGTGATGCGCGGCTGGGTGTCGGGTTCGGTTGCGGCTTTTTTGGCGGACCTGGAGGCCCTGGCAGGGCGGGCGTCGCCGGCAGCCGAATTCACGGCAAACACCGCCTGCTCCGTGCCCTGGATAAACCACTCGCTGCGCGCCGCCTCCAGCGGCGTGCCGCCCTGGGGGCTGAACTGCGTGCGGCTTTGCACCAGGCCGGCGGGCGGCGTCGGCGCGCGGCTGCGTTCGGTCTTGTGCAGGTAATTCATCAGCGCCGCCCAGATGGGCGCCGCGCCGCTGGTGCCGCTCACGTCCCACATGGGCGCGCCGCTGGCGTTGCCCACCCACACGCCCACGGTGTAGCGCTGCGAAAAGCCCATGGCCCAGTTGTCGCGCATGTCCTTGCTGGTGCCGGTCTTCACAGCCGTCCAGAAGCGCGTGGCCAGGATGCTGTCGGTGCCGAAGGTGCGCGCGCGCGCCAGCGGGTCGGCGATGATGTCGGTCGCGATAAAGGCGGCACGCGGGTCGAGCGCCGGCCTGAACACCGGCTTGGGGTTCTTCGCGAGCGAGGGCGCGCTGTAGCGCCCGCCGTTGGCCAGCGTGCGGTAGGCATTGGTCAATGCCAGCAGCGAGACTTCGCTGCTGCCCAGCGCCAGGCTGTAGCCGTAGTAGTCGCCCGATTCCTTGAGCGGCAGGCCCACGGCCTTGAGCTGCTTCTGGAAGGCGTCGGGCGAGACCATGACCAGCGTGCGCACGGCCGGCACGTTGAGCGAGGCGCCCAGCGCCGTGCGCGCCGACACCAGGCCCTTGAACTGCCGGTCGTAGTTCTGCGGGATGTAGAGGCCGCCGGCCGTCTGGATCTGCGAGGAGGAATCCTCCAGCAGCGAAGCCGCCGTGATGCGCCGCTCGGCCACCGCCTGGGCGTACAAAAATGGCTTGAGCGTAGACCCCGGCTGGCGCAAGGCCGTCACGCCGTCGACCTCGGCCGCGTCGCTCAGTTCACCCGAGGAGCCCACCCAGGCCAACACCTCGCCCGTGGCGTTGTCCAGCACCACGATGGCGCCGTCCTCGACATGGCGGCCGCGCAGTTCGCGCAGCTGCTGGGTCAGGGTTTGCACGGCAAAGCGTTGCAGCGGGGCGCGTAGGGTGGAGCGGACGATCTGGCTCTTCGAATCCGCGGAGCCCTCACTCCCGCCCTCTCCCGGGGGGAGAGGGAGTAATGCGGATTCGCTACCCCCAGCTCCTCCTTTGGCAGAAGCCGGGGTGCCGGTATCACTCCCTCTCCCTCTGGGAGAGGGCAGGGGTGAGGGCGCGCGAAGCGCCATCAGCCTGCGCGCCACATGCGGCGCCACCCCTTCACTCGCATCAAAGGCCTTGCGCTGCAGCGCGGCCGCGGCGAACAAGTCCAGGCCTTCGCAATCGACCTTCGCCGGCGCCTGCATGACTTTCAGGACGCCGCAAGCCCGCTGCGAGACCTGCGCCGTCTTGGCATTGGGCGCGCGCACCAGCGCGGCCGCGATGGCCGCCTCGCGTTCGTCCAGCCCGTGCGCGGCCTTGCCGAACAGCGTGCGGCTCAGCGCGTCTATGCCCACCATCTCGCCGCGAAAGGGCACGAGATTCAGGTAGGCCTCCAGGATCTGGTCTTTGCGCCAGCGCGCTTCGAGGATGCGGGCCGACACGGTCTGCCCGACTTTCTGCGTGAGGCTGCGCCCGCCCGCGCCGGCACGCCAGTCTTCGTCCATCAACCCGGCCAGCTGCATGCTGATGGTGGAGGCGCCGCGCGTTTTGGTGTTCCACAGGTTGCCCCAGGCCGCGCTGGAGACCGCGCGCCAGTCCACGCCGCTGTGCTCGTAAAAACGCTTGTCCTCGCTGAGCACCAGCGCCGTGCGCAGGGCCGGCGACACATCGGGCAGCGCCACCCACTGGCCGCGCCGCACGGCAGCGTCGGTGCGCAGGCGCTGGAGGACTTCGCCGTTGCGGTCCAGCACCAAGGTGTCGGAAGGCTTGAAGTCGCGTTTGACTTCGTCGAAGGTGGCGACGGCCCAGGCGGCCGAACTCACACCGCCTGCCAGAAACAGAACCAATGCCAGGCTGGCGAAAACACGTGTCGGCTTGCGATTCATCGCTTGGTGCAAAGTTTCAGGTTGGTCCGGGTGGCCCGTACCACCGGCAGGTACATGTCGGCATCGGTCGGCGGGTAGTTTCCTCTGATTTCCTCATCGGACAGCGCGGCATCCGGGGCAAGGCCCTGCAAAGTCCGGATACAGCCGGCGCGGTCACCCAGCTTGAACTGCGTCAGCGCCAGGTCGTTCAATACCCGGCCCGAGTCAACCCAGTGGAGGAATTGTTTGCATTGCGTTGCAACAGGGTCGATCGTCGCCAGGGCGGCACTGTAGTTTTTGGCGACGTATTCTTCCTTGAATTTTTTCCTCGAAGCCTGAATGCTCTTGCTCACGCAAAGCGGCGGAGGCTTGCGGTAAAGCCCTTCAAACCAGGCCCGCATGCCGCAAAAATCCCTGCATGCGTCGGACTCATTGGTCGCGACGTTGACGTTCTGGCCGTCGGCTTTGAAGCTGACCTGGCACGCGGATTTCTCCAGCTTCGATTTGCCGTTGGTGACCACGCCATCCAGTTCACAGATGTGGCCGTTGGCGCCTATGGTTTCTATCCTGAACTTTCCGCGGGCTTGAACTTGAAGCGTTCCCCACGCGCCGTCGCTGATCACGTATTCACCCTCGGCGGGCGTGCTGAACTGCGCCAAAGCCAGGTTGGCGCCCAGCAGCATGAAGGCATGCACCGCGTAGAAGGCAAGCTTCACTTCGCGGCCTCCACCTTCACCCGCGCATTCGGAAACTCGCCAAACATCTCGGGCGCATACATGGCCTCGACCCGGCTCGGCGGCAAGGCGAAGTCGCCGACGTTGTTCAGGCGCACGGTGTATTCCATCTTCACCACGCCCTTGGGCAGGTATTCGTAATAGCTGCGGAAAGCCTCGAAGCTGCGCTCTTCGAATGCGGGCCAGCCGGCGCCGGTCTTCTTCTCGCCGCCGGTCGCGATTTCGGAATCGCGGCCCAGGCCGCCACCCAGAATCGTCGCGCCGCCGGGCACCGGGTCGCTGATCACCACCCAGGTCATGTCGGCACTCGCGTTGACTTCCAGCGTGATGCGGACCACGTCGCCGCGCGTGTAGACGCCTTTGACGGCCTGCTCC